TTTTTTTTTTTTGTCCATTCACTGTGGATTCAATTTTGAAATAATCCAGTCATTTGAAGCAGCGTCTAAAGAATTTGATGTTTTTCTGAACTAGGTAATATATTTTTTGGATAAAAAATAAAATAAAGCACTAAATCTGATTTTCTGCTATGGCTTGCACCTCGATTTAAAAGCAGTTCTAAAGCAGGTATTTCATATATTTTCTTTTGGAATCATTAGAATAAGTATATATTATTCAGAAATTTCTGCTTTGCAAATGTTAGCACATCTACTACCTGGGATAAGTTTTGTTCTGTGTTGTTTCAAATCAACTTCATAGGAACCTAATCTTGTGGTATGATTTAAATTTCACAGATTACTTTTGTATAAAAAACTAACAAGTAAACTTGTTATATATTCAAGGATATTTTATAGGTATTGATTATATTTGACTCTAATACAATATTTATCTTATTTTTTTTAGCCATCCACAGTTATTTCAGGAAATTCTTCTAGTAACAATGTTTCATCTTCAGCAACTAGTGGCCTAACAGGATGGGCAGCTTTTGCAGCCAAAACTTCCTCTGCTGGTCCATCAACAGCAAAATTGAGTTCCACAACACAAAACAATAGTGGGAAACCTACTACCTCATCAGCTAACCAGAAGCCTGTGGGTTTGACTGGTCTAGCAACATCATCTAAAGGTGGAATAGGTTCTAAACTAGGTTCTGGTAATAGCACTACACCTACTGTACCATTGAAACCACCTCCACCTCTAACCTTGGGCAAAACTAGCCTTAGTCGCTCAGTTAGTTGTGACAATGTCAGCAAAGTAGGTCTTCCTAGTCCTAGTAGTTTAGTTCCAGGAAGCAGCAGCCAACTAACTGGGAATGGAAATAGTGGGACATCAGGGCCCAGTGGAAGTGCCACTAGCAAAACCACTTCAGAATCCAACAGCAATCCCTCAGCTTCCCTTAAAGGTCCAACTTCACAAGAATCACAGCTCAACGCTATGAAGCGATTACAGATGGTCAAGAAGAAAGCTGCTCAAAAGAAACTCAAAAAGTAATGTGATGTGGCTAGCTAGGTTTTTGTATCATATTACTCTAAAGATTAAAAAAAGTTATTATCAGGGTATAAACTAATATGCCACAATTTAATAAAAATCTTGATAATCAAATTTCTATTGTTTTATTACCTTAAGATGCTAAATATTATTTAGCCAAGCTTGGAACCTTTCCTGTTTTAAATCTGTCTCACATTTTTATTAAAGTGATTGATTCTTGATGAGAACTTCAGAAGATTGATAGTATGTGCAAATTTAATAAAGTAGCTCATATAGAAAATTTGCCCCAGAGTTGATCCTGCCCAATGAGGTGCCTTACAAGGGGGCAGGAATGATCCAATATGAAGCTTTCAGTACTTCCCCCTATACTCTGAGTGTTCCATGTCAGTCTCAGCCTCATTTGAACTGATTGTTTCTCTCCAATCTCATCTTTTTTCAAAAGTAATTTTTCTAATTCATTTCCCATGTCCCTTTACTCTAGCTTTTGTTTTTTACCACCTCAGTTTAGAGATTTATCTCTTCCAATAGATTGTGAGCTCTCATGCCCCTTTGTATTTTTTTCTGACTTGTTTTGTTTTTTACATTGTAGCATTTACAAAGGTTCTTATCAATCATACTTGAACTACCCCCCACAAACACTGCTCTACCCCATTCCCCCTCCCCTGATTCCTGAAACAGTTTCAACAGGTATCATTTTTGCATTTACATACATGTGTATACATTGTTTGCACCATATTCATCTCCTACCCCTTTCCCCGTCACCTTCCCCCTCCCACTGGTGCCAACCGCTTCCCCCACCCCAGAACCTGTTCCACCCTCCTGTTCTCCGATTTTGTAGAGGACAAAACATGAAAGATAGAATCAGAAACATGATGTTTTGCTAGTTTGAGATAAAGATAGCTACACAGGAGTTTCCTTATGTTGTTCCCATGCATATGTATATTACAGCTCCAGTTGATTTGCCCCTTTCAGGCCTCTTTACTCCTAGTCCACTTTCCATGGTGGCCCTGGACAGTTTAAGATTGCTATATTCATTCCTGTACCATGAACACATCAACCTCATTCAAGTTTTTGGTTTTCTTCTCTTGTCCTATCCCTCCCTCAGCCTCCCCTTAGTGTGACGCATGTCCCATAATATTGCTGCATTTGTTTTAGGTCTACAATCTGCATATGAGGGAGAACATGCAGCTTTTGGCCTTCTGAGCCTGGCTAATTTCACTTAAGATGATATTCTACAATTCCATCCATTTACCTGCAAATAACAAAATTTCATTCTTTGTGGCTGAGTAAAATTCCATGATGTATAAATAGCACATTTTCTTAATCTGTTCGTCAGTAGTGGTGTATCTTGGGTGTTTACATAGCTATTGTGAATAGCACTGCAGTAAACATGGGTGTGCAGGTACCTTTGTTGTAACCTGACTCACATTCCTTTGGGTATATTCCTAGGAGTGGTATTGCTGACATGGCCCACTTTTCTCCACATTACCAGTGGAGTATATGCTCAGTATATATTCAGTAATTGTTGATTTTGACTCATCCTGGTTGTACACATTCATGAGAATTATTGAGAAAAGTATCCATTTCTAAGAGTCTTTGTGAATGGGAATTTATGACTTGTTTACACACATCCTTTTCCTATACCGAGAAAAGAAAAGGTATTTTTACTGCTCAAAAATGTTACAGCATTTCACCTACTATAAGTTAACTTTTATAAAATGAAATTCCTATTTAATGATTAATTCCTAAGATTGTTTTGTGCATTGTTGTCAGAAAGTGCTTATGATTTGAATATGGTTTGGATGGTGTTTGACTCTCCAACTTGGTCCCCAGTGTGGCAATGTTAAGAGATAGAGGAACCTTTAAGAGGTGAAGCCTTGTGAAAATTGCCCTTGGAAAAGATTAAAGTAGTTCTTATGTGACTCCTGAGTTCTTCAAGAGTCAGTTGTTAAAAAAGCCTAAACCTGACCATATGAATTGCTCTCTCACTTCTTATCTTGTAAGGTATCTCTTCCTCTCACATGAACTACAGCCATGCTGCCATCTTCTGTGAGGTGATGCTGTCAGGTTGTGGGGGGAGGGTCAGTGTCAGAGTCATTGTCATGCTATTTGGAGCTAAATACATGAGCTAAATAAACCTCTTTTTATTTGTAAACTTACCCAGGCTCAGGTGTTTCATTAACACAACAGAAAAACTGACAAATACAAAAAGTATGAAGGGTCTGAGAGAAATAGTTTATTATTCACAGCAAAATTCAGCAACCATTTCATAATTCATGAATACCTCATTCTTCCAGAAACTGTAAATCCAACTTATTCCCACAGTTAGAAGACTATGAGTAGCATTCTTTTATCAATCTTGATGTGTGCTACAAAATCTTCAAATTTTTTTTTTTTGGCAGTACTAGGGCTTGAAAAATCTTCATTGTTTAAACCCCTAATCTAAAACCCTCTTCCTTAATTATCTAGGTTTTTCTAACATCATTATTCTAAAATATATTCAGAAATGATCTCTGTGAAGATAAAGCTTTTAAATTAAGCTTGATCTTTTTCTAGGAAAGATTATTTTAAACTGTTCTTTTAAGTAATGGCACCATATTACTCATGGTAAATTAGGATCCAAGATTGAAATAATCCCATTACTTACACATGGAGTAAATGTCTATTTATAAGCTTGGAATCTGTCTGCAGATGTTTTTGTTTTGAGAAACAAATTTCTGTTGATAAAAACATAAGTTTGGCATAAACTCCATATCCCATTTAGGATAAAAAACATTTATTTTAAAAACGCTACCATTGTTTATATTCAGAACAGTTTGGACTTAACAAAATGACCTAACACAACTCAACAACTATAGCAGTTAATGTAACCTCAGTACCTAGAAGAAATTTAAGTGGTAATATTGAGTACAGTTGCATGTTAGCATTTGAAATGAAAAGTTTTACCCCATCATAGAATATATATGCTAGAACTGAGGAGAAAAGCAATTGTTTTAATTTCTATTGCACTTCAGGGAAGACTTTAGGAATTAACTTATCCTTCAGTGAATATGATTATTTGGTACAGATAATACATGTGTATATCTATTTTATATGAGTATGCACACATTTAATAAAGTATACAACTTACAACTCAGTAGAAGTATATTTGATATTAGAGTTTAATTGTCTCAAGTAACTGATTTTTCATATTACAAAGAGATACTAGACTAACAGCAGTGATGAAAGTAGCAATAGTATTTATCATTTAATTTGTTATACATAAGAAGACAAGTGTTTCTCTTGAATTTAAGTTGTGTGAGGGGAGAGATCTTGTTTGTCTTGTATTGTAATCTATGGCTGTCAATATTTGTTGGCTCAGTAATGAGTGGATAGGTAAGCAGGTATGATCATAAGTAAGCTTTTAGGATTGAATATTCAAATCCCATTTTCATGCAGATTTGATCATTATCACTTTTCTGTGTTGTGTATTGTGCTTTCTCTAAGATTAACCTAGGTTTTAGTGATTTAAAAAAGAAAAATGAAGACAAAAAAGTAAAGGGAAAATACTGTTAAAACACTGGCCTTGAAACTGAATAACCTGATTTTGAATCCCTGTCTTTTCATGTATGCTCCTTTATTTCCTTCTTTATAAAATATATATATATATATATATATATATATATAATATATATATATATATATATATATATATATATATATATATATGAAAATGAGATAAAATGGAAGGTGTCTGAGCTGGAGATGTGGCTTAAGCAGTAGAGTGCCTTCTTTGCAAGCACAAAGCCCTGAGTTCAAATTGCAGTCCCACCAAAAAAAAGGAAGATAACTAATACACATAGTCCCCAACTTATGATGGATTGGATGGATCGACTTACAGTTTTTCCATGGTGCAAAAGTGATACACATCTAGTAGAGCCTGTACTTTGAATTTTAATCCTTTCCCAGGCCTAGCCATATGCTGTATGATATTCTTTCACATTTGGGGCAGTAACAGCAAATTGCAGCTCCCAGCCATTCAAATGCTCATGCTGGCAAATAACCCATACTCTACAGTGTACTGAGTTGCTAAACTATGATGATGAGTAGGTTAAGTGTACTAAGTGTGTTTTTAACCTAGAAAATTCTCTCAGTGGGTTTATCGGGACATCAATCATGGGTAGAGACACTTCTGAATTTAAAGGCTAGATTATTCCAATTCTTAACAAGGATGTGGTAATATGTATTAGTAACAGAATATAAACTGTAATGACCATAGGTTGCATAGGAAAAACATTTTATCACGATAAAAATTTTTATTACCATAATTATAAAAATTATATAAGAGAAAGCTATGAGTACATTTATAAAGATAACAAGATTGTTATCTTTAAGTGAAATAAGTTTAATTTACTAAGAATATATTCCCTAAGTTTTTAATGAGAAAATCTTATTCCAGGCTTTTCTAAAGTGTTTTTTTTTTTTTTAAATAAGGCAAACCTTACCTGTATCTAGCTAGAATATAATATTGTGGAAACAACAGCTAATCTACAGATACTCAGCTTGAGTTTGAGTAGCCCTTGAGTAAAACTATGTTATGTTGGAATAATTTTATAGACCACAGACAATTACTGATGAGTTTTAGTAATATATTAGTGTATGTAGAGAGAGGTGAGTAACTAAAATATAGACTTTTAAAACAGTAAACATTTTAAAAATAATGATCTATCCCAATGACTATAAAGTCCAGTGTCTTTCTAGTCAATGAAATTTAATTACTTCCTCATTAACTGTAATGTAAAATTAAATATCTCACTCAGTTTAAGCTTTATGAGGTCTGTATGTTTCCAGTGTTTAGTAGTGCATTGAGTACATTATTAGGAAGCCATGCTTATTAAACAGGATTTAAATAAGGTATTTGTTTTGTTTGTTTTTTGCTATTCTTGTGATAGAAAGATTTCCTTATATGAGTAGTAAAAACGTTAATTTTTGTAAATCACCCAAACTGCGTTCATCCTAAATAGTTGCAGGTACTAATAGCCATCTCTAAAAGTGCAAAGTACGTTTTCACAAACATGGAATATGCCAGTACTTAAAGTATGTCATGTACTGCTTCATTCCTCTGATTTAAAATTTGCATTATATCTCTTCTACACTACTCAACCTTCATGCTCAAGACATTTTTCTGAAGTGCAAGGAATGTTCGAATGGTGGCATTGTGGCTTTTTTATTTCAGTGCCCACAGCAATTTTGTATTATTAGATTAATTTTTACACTTTCTAAATTATGTATACTATAAGTTTAGAGCATCTGTATTTTTAAATAAAATATGTATGTTCACTTATTTGTTTTAGAAAGGAAAATTAGCTACAAAAATTTCCCCTTCATTCTTGGTTAAAAAAAAAAAACCTACTTCAGAGGATTCTATTCTGTTCAGTAATATTAATTATTAAAAAGAATAAAACAAAATAATTACATTGTCATACATAGCTTTAATTATACTGATGCCATCAGCAGTATTAGCTTTTAAACTTCTTAAAGTCATGTATCTCATAGCTATCTTGGAATTTTATTTCCCTTGGGCTCAATACAATAAAGTCTGATCTCAAAATTATAATTTACTTGATTTTAAGCAAAATACAAAGAAAATGAGAGTATTGTATTTTTAAAGCCTATTTTTAGTAAATGTATTCACCACAATAGTAGGGAATTGCAGTAAGCAGCCTCATTACAACTCTTGTTCAGCAGCTAACTGCAGGTATGATTTTTGGTGTATGGATTCTTCAAAGGTCAGACAGGAAGTATTAATCCTAGTTCCACACCCAGTAGAGAAAGCCTCTTATGGACATCTGGTTACTTATTTCAGCCAAAAAAGGTCTGTGCTATTTATATAATTCTTCATTCTTGCAGGGTGTATTAAAGCTCATACATATGTCTATATAATACATAATGAATATATATAATTGCCCCACTATTTTGGTCTTTGGCCGTGTTCATAGCTTTCACAAGTAGCAAGTTTGGATTTTTTGCTTTACCCTGGGCAAATGAGTTTACTTTTGTTTTAAATTTTAGTACAAAGGCTAATTAAAAGATATTTTAAAATCCCTATAGCTGGACTGGGGTGTAGCTCAGTGATAGAGTACTTGCCTAAAATCCCTATATATCTAAAAGTCTTCTTTTAGTATCCCACTCAAAAAAATATTTTAACATAAGCAACTTGTCAATGAGACTCTGTAAAGCCATTTTTAGATTAATGATTTTAGAAACATCATAAAATGCAAATGTTTCTTTCATATAAGTATGCATTTCTGTGGTTGTACATGTCATATATGTGTGTGTTTGTTACCTGCAGCTGCCCTCTGAAAAGTAACACTTATTTTGGTGGTTGTATTCCTCAGTAATATATTAACATAATATACATTATACAGATGAAATAAATCTTTCAAAGTAATAATAAAATCTTAAAATTTAATGTCATTACCACATTTTGTATGGACAATGAAAGTCTACCTTAATTTGGTTTTAAAAGGAAATCATTAAAGTCAAATTTAATGTTTTCTGTACCAAAGAAGCATCTTTGGTTTGATAAAGTGTCTTGACAATACTCCTGAAATCTTGGAGGACAATTATCTAAGCAACCCAAATTAAAGTTCAGTGTCCCAGACATTGTGTTATAACAAATGTTATCCTCAGTCCTTGCCTTATCTAAATAGAAATCTGCAACTAAAAATATTTACATCTTGGCTCAGAACACAGAACACACATTCCCCATTCATTATCCAAATTATTAAGTGATCCAAAAATATTTTCCTCATTAAAGTATCATTAGTAATCATGTAAAATAGTTTTTAAACAATTATACTTTCAAAAATGGTTAAGCAAAAGAGTAAAAATAGGTAATAAACCTAGACAGTTATTTTATCATTGTAGCCCTTAATTCTGAAAAATGAAATACTTAAACGTCAGCATGAGAGAAAAATAGTCATCCTCAGTTTTTATTATTTGCATCAGTAAATGCTTTGCAAATAACAAATTATACACTCCTGGAGGAGCAGAGTATAGTAGTTAGAAACAGGGACCCTGGATCCAGACCACCTATGTTTGAGTCCCAGCCATCCTGGCTATGTTAGTTGGTCTAAACTACTTCACCTCTCTGGGCTATGGTCTCCTCTTATTACATAAAACATTTAAAACAATATCTGTCACATATTCACTCAGTAAATGTTGGATATTATAGCAAATGAATCAGTTTTTTCCTCTTTTGATTCAAAACCTATTAAAAGCTCCATATTAAAGATTTCTAATTGGCTATTAATTAGTTCCTATTTTTAGGAATTTACTTATGCTTTGGTTTGTACATATGTGTATGATCTATATTATACACATATATAAACTGCATATGTGTATATATATATAAACACATGTATATGCAAATGGGAAATATAAAAACCAGAAACATGTTTGAGGCAAAACACATAATACAGTAAAAAATGAAATTACAGTAAATTGAAGAAACTTATCCTTAGATCCAACATTTCATGATGATAAAAGACATTTCTCCTTTCAAAAAATCTCCATCTTGTAGTTTATAGATGGAGCCTGGGTGGTTTGCTTTGCTGTTTCTGTTGGCTTAGTATTTCCTTCAACATGTATTGTTTATAGTACATTCATGAAATAATCCCATTAGAAAGCATAGTCTTCCTTAAAATCTGGTGTAGTATCAGTTCACGCAGTTTGGAGGTTTCTTGCTATCTGGGCCAAAGTTCCAGAATGTCAGTTTTATGAGGTAGTCAGTCCACACCTTGCCAGGAAATGGTCAGAGGTGTATTTTCTTAAGCATAAGTCATCCTTCCAAGGTAGTTAGCTGGCACATATCCTTTCTGCCCATGAGCTTCAGCTAACCACCACTCTTTATTTCCACTTAGATCACAAAATCTAAGTATGTGGACTCTTTGGTACTCCTGAAGACTGAGTTCATGCTCACTCCGTGCTTGAAAAGCATGAACTGCGTAGAATATCTAGACAAAGAAACACATGTCATTATCGGAACCAAAACGATATAGCCATTCTTATTCCATTGGACAGAGTTTGAATTGCTATGCTTTGAGGCAATTTGGCAGTTTCTATTGAAGCACTTTTTAATGTTAATTCCTTTTGAGTCAATAATATCTCTAAGAATCTTCTACAGAAATAGAAATACTGGTAGATATTTTTGCACAACAATGTTATTGCAATAGCTGTATGGTGAAAGGGGGGAGAAGTATGGAAATGCCTAAAGGTTTAGCAAGAAGAGAATAAATTCTAGACCTTCATACTAAGGAAATCTGTAATCATTAAAATAACGATTTCTGATAGTAACAATAGAAAGTGCTTATGATTAAATAGTAAGCAAAAATATATAAAATCAGGTAATCAATATATGCCTAAAATTTCTAGATTTCTTTGAATGTTGGGATGATGGGTAATTTTCATTATTACATCTTTGTTCCTTTGTTTATTTTTCAAACCTTTATGATCACATTGTATTAAATTTATAATTTACAAATTATGTTAATGACCTAGATGAAACTAATAAAACATATTTCAATTAAGAGAATTTTTCTCTGACCTCAAAAGAATACTTCATAACTATTAGTGCACTGTAAGCCTTAAAGTAAGTGCTTAGTACATTGTCCAGTGAAATCATAAGACTGATGACAAAAATGTTTTGTTATATATTCATTTGTTTATAATAAGATTTTATGTAGTACCTACTAAGTGCCAGACATTATTTTATCAGGAGCCTTACAACTCAGCCAGGAAAATAATAAATGTCAACAAAGCAAAATAAAACAACAAAAAATCCCAATAATAACAACACCAACAGAAACCTCTACACAAAGATGACACATGAGCTGGATTTTGAAAGCATTAACCTCTTATAAATGACATAGTTGACAAATGGGGTTAAAATGTCATTCAAAAGTACAGAAAAAAATATATAGGAAAAGGCAAGCATATTAACTTTCAAAATTGAGGCCCAATAGATAAAACACATAAGTATTATGTGTTGAATTCCTATGAGGAATAAGGTGACTACACTGAGCAGAAAAAGACACTGGGTAGTTTGGGGAGAGGACTATGTTGTTACTTACGTTGTTATTTAAATTTGATAAAACTCTGGTTCCATTGATTGGTTTACTGTCTTAGTAACCAGCATGATCGGCTCCTCAAGGAAAGGAACCATATTGCCATGACCTCTTCCGCCTAAATTTATGTGTTGAAATCCTAACCCCTAAGGTGATGATATTGATTTGGGAGGTGATTAAGTCATGAGGACAAAACTTTCATGAATGGGATCAATTCCTTTACAAAATAAGCCCAAGAATCTAGATCTAAAAAACAAATTTAAAAAAATATTATGACATAATTGTAAAATGGGAACTGTTGGGGGTGGGGGGAAACAAGAGATGGGAAGGAAAAAGGAGATGGTGACAGTGTGAATATGACAGAAGTACATTATAGATAGGTAGATGATAGATAGATAGATAGATAGATATAGATAGATAGATAGTTGATGTATATATTAGAAAATAACATCATGAAACCCACTAAAAAAAGAAGGGAGAGAAGGGGATTAAGATAGAGTAATATAGACAGGGTGAATTTGACCAAAGTACATTATATGCCTGTAAATATCACAATGAAACTCCTTTGTATAATTAATTCATACTAATAAAATAATTTTTTAGAAAGAAGCTCGACAGAAACCCCTCATCCTTTCCATCAGGTGAAAACCTAGCCAGAAGATGCCATCAATGAACTAGAAAGTTGGCTCTCAACAAACACCAAAAATACCATTATCTTGATCTTAGACTTCTAGCTTCTACAACTGTGAGAGATTTCTATTGTTTACAAGCCACCCAGTTTATAGTATTTGTTATAACTGCCTGAATGGGCTAGGGCACATTTAAACTTTTTTCTGCTGACCACCTCATGGCAATAATTAAAATATTTGATGACTTAAACTGAGTTAGGCTAAAGGTATACAGGAGATCGTTGTTTCTCTTACAACATACAAGAGAAATTAGTTTGTAATAAAAGTAAAGAGGAAAACAAAAATGGAGTAGGTATAAATTCTTCAGCAATGGAGTATCACCAATAATAAGCACCTTTTTTAGAGCTTGTAACAGTTTATGCCACATGTGCTTTATCCTCAACAACCCTGAGAGTTGAGACTTGGAGAAGAATTAATCTTAGAGTGAATTAGTACTGCTAGGACCCATATCTTCCAATTCCAAAATCCTGTGCTTGATCTGTTTCTCATACTGTTTTAGGAACCAAATTCTTGTCTAACAAGGATACACAAAGTATATTCTTGTGGGAAGGGATTTAGTCTTATTCTAGAAAGAAAGAAAGGAACTGGAGCTTCTAATATATTGCTAATGTTGTTTGGAAAGTAAAAACATCAAATAGATCCACCCACAGGAGCCTAGTGAAGGATTTGGTTTGCAAAAAACATCCAGGAGTGTGTGGTGCTAAAATACAGCTCCTGAAATAATCTGCAGAGCCTGCATTAGCAGTTACTAACCATTATTTGCAATTTATACAATATGTGTTCTATACCAATTCAGCCATAAATTGTTTCAGCAGGATGGATTAGCCACTAATATCCCATTCTGAAATATTTGTGGTAGTCTTTCACTTTCAGGCACTTCCATATATATATGTATTATAGCCTGATTTGGCTCATCTCCTCTATTATTTTTCTTTCTACCTTAGTCCATTTCTTATGGTGGTTTCAAATGGTTTAAAAATTTCTACATTCATTCTTGTATGGAGAGCACATCAATCATATTCAATTTCACTGTGTAGCTGTCTTAAACACAAAAATGTCATTTTTTTCTTCTTTTTTCCAAAACAAAATTGGAGAACAGGAAGATAGAACAGGTCCTGCCCAGGGAGTGGGGGGGTTGGTGCCAGTGAGAAGGAGGAAGAGGTGGGTAAATGGTGAAGGAGGGTGAATATGGTCCAAGTGCTGTGTACACGTGTATGTAAATGGAAAAATGGTACCTGTTGTAACTATTCTAGGAATGTGGAACAGAGGAGATGAAGGAGAATGGTGGAGGATATGAATTCATGTACAATACATATGAAATATTATAAGAACTTTTGTAAATGCCACAATGTACCCTCACCCAGCACAACAATAAAAGAATAAATTTCTTTTGATTTATGCCAAAAAAATAAAAAATCTTTCATGTTGATAAGTAATCCTCTAAATCTTCATTTAATGAGTTCTTAAATACATTATGCTATATCCTGTTAATTGTTGAACTAATTTTGGACAATGACATACTAGACATGTCGCATCACCATAAGTAGTTGAAAATGTAGAGATGAAGGACCAGACCATGAACTTAGAAAAATTAGTAGCAAAACAATTAATTTATTGCAAATCAAAAATTGTGACTTCAATATTATTTTTGCAGAAGTAAAAAGAGCACTAGTTCTCAGCTATTGAACTGTCCTCTGAACTAGATTTTAGCAATTATTAAACCTGGTCCTCTTCCTTTGTAAAGTGCCAAGACAACATTCTGCTTGCCAAACAAGACTGTCAGATACTGTGGACTCCAAGATTCCAAACAGACCCCAAGAGTCCCACCCCCCAGTAGTACATGTCCTATATAATTTTCCTTTGATGGTAGGTGGAACTTAATGTGATGAGATTTCACTCCTGTGATTAGGCTATGTTATATGTTAACAGTAAAGAGATTTTGTGGAGGTGCCTTATAAGGATCCTAAGAAATGACTTTGACTTAGTCAAATGAAGAACATGCTAGATGGATAGGATCAAATCAGAAGAGGTCTTTAAAAGTGTGTCTAGGCCTTTTCCAAAGGGAGAAATGAGAAGACAAAGAGATACTTGTCTACTAACCTTGGAGAAACAAAAAGCCATGCTATAAACTGCAAAGCAAGTAAGAGCCATAACTCAATACTGAACTAGGTTTAGGATGTCTTGACAAACTTTGTCCTCAGATTTCTGTCCTAGGTTATTGTCCAAGGAAGAATCTATTAGGATATTTAATCAATGCTATATATTTCACTGATAAAAATTCATTAATTACCATTGCAACATGTCTTCTAGGAACTCTGAATAAACTAACAGTGAACAATTAATAGAGAAACAGCGTTTTGAAACTTCAAGGTAGAAGGGTGATAAGAACACATAGTAATATCCAGACAAATTAAAACTCAGTCCTTTCCTGGAGAAAAGATTCACAAATTAATATATCTGATAAATAATTTGCATCCAGAGTTTATAAAGAACTCTTACAGCTAGAAAATAAGAAGAAAAATGATCCATTAAAAAAGGGAAGTGCTTGAATAGACACTTTATCAAAGAAAAGAAAGTGGTAAATAAGCACATGAAAAGATGCTCAGCAGGACTAGCCACTAAGGCAATTCAAATTAAACCAGTACAGAGATACCACTTCATACCCACTAAGATGGCGGTAATATAAAAAGTAACTAGTGCTGGTGCGAATGTGCAGAAATTGCAACCAAAAATCTTCCTACATTGCTGGTAGGAATGTAAAATGTTTTTTCAAAGACATTTTGAAAAACAACCTGGCATTTTCTTAAAAGGTTAAACATAAATTTACCATACCTGGATGACTAGATTAAGATTCTTAACAACATTATGCTAAGTAAAAAAAGCCAGCTACAAAACACCAAATATTGTATCATGCTACTCATATGAAATATACAGAGAAGATAAATCTATTGAGGTGGAAAATAGATTAGTGGCTTCCTGAAGTTGAAGGTGAAAAGGGCAGTGACTGCAAATGGGTATAAAGAATCTTTAGGAGTGAGAGAAATGCTCTATTTGCCTTAGGCTGATGATGGCATCAATTCTATAAATATACTAAGTCATTCAATTTTACACTTAAAATGGATCATAGAAAATGTAAATAAGCCCCAAATAAAGCTAATTTTTAAAAAGCAGTCATGAATTGGACAGCAATTAATGTTAATAAAAAAAACTGAATACATAAAATATTTTTGAAAGGCAGTAGGGCAATGTCTATAAAGACTTTATATGTATGCTTTGACTCGCCAATATTTTTAGGGATTTTCCTTACAAATATAAAGACGTACAAAAATAGAAGAGCAAGTACTTTCATTGAAATGTTATTTGAAATTTTTGGAACACAATATTCTAAATATTTTAGCCTAATAATTATATATAAGGCTATAGTATGGAGAATTTTTCAAAAGTGGAAGAGTTATTTAGGTACAGTTTTGTCTAAGGTATATTTTAAGTGAAAAAATCTGTAACACATCCATTTTTCAATTGTGTAAATATATTCATTTGTGCTGAAGATGTGGCTCACGTGGTAGAAAGCATGCCTGCAATTCAAACCCCAGTATTGTCAATATATATAAATGTGTGTTTGTGTATATACATATATATAGCTTTACTGCAATGGTGGAGTGTAAAAAGACCATCTTCACTTTAAGTATTTAGCAGCATGGTAGTACCAAGAACAGCTTCTATTTATTAAGTATTATTATTTATTAAGTATGCCAGATGTTTTGCATATACACATATTAATCCTACAATATAGGAATTATTGTCCTCTTTGTTTCATTTGAGGAAACAGGCTCAAAGAATTAAATTCTTTGCAAAGCAGACCACAGAGAGTACATGTAAATAGACCTTGGTCTCTTTGATGTAAAAGTTGGCACTTCTCTACCAAGTCTTACAGTACAACAGTGTGCAGTTAGAGATTTTATGATTTGAACAGCCAAGTATTTTCACATCAAGGTTCAAATTCTTACCTGTTCATCAACCTCTTGATAACTGTCAATGTCAGTGCCATTTGTTTCAAGCTTTCCACAAGTGCCACTGAGAGATGAGCTGCTGTCACTTATGCTACCTTCAGGAGTGTCTGTGACACTGTCACTAGCTGGCCGTGAGGACACAAAAAGGCTGATGTTGTCAAAATCATCATCATAGAATCTGTTCTCAGCATCCATCTTCTGTACCTTCGCTGGATTGTAGGGTTTTAGGAAGGAGGAATACACATATCCTTTTACAACTATGTAGGAAATAAAAAGAAAGAAGAATGAAGATCATGTGTGTACACTTCCGAAATGTGTGTTTCAAAGAGTACACAGAGGCCACTGGAAAAATCTTAACCTAAAAAGGGGTAGTAGTTCTGGGGAAAACAAACAAACAAACTTACTTCCTGTGTCAACAAGCCACCTGCTTGTACTCCCTAGTGGGTCTTTCTGTTCCATCACAGCCACCAACTCTCCTTCTAGAAGATTGATGTCATATTCTTGTGTAGCATTGCACTTGCGCTTAGCTTGGTAGAGTTCCTCTGCACTGTATGAGGACAGAAGTTTGGAGCGGTGAATGTCATTTTGATGTGGCACTTCTGGCTGGGAAAGGGAAGGAGAAGTTTGCTTTAGATGGTTGTGTAATAAAATCCTCATTGAGTTAAGTATTTCTTCTCTGAAAAAATTTTTAAGTATAGTTGAACACTGATTTGAATTTACTTCAAGGTGGAAGCTTAAATCAAGCTATTATTGGAAAGTACTCAGCTCAGTTAATCAGGGAAAAACTCTCTAGTAAGCACTTGAGGGCAGTGTTGTAGAACAGAAAAAAAATTCAACGGAGAATAAGAAGGCAGAAGTTCTAATCCCTATTAAATATTGAGCAGCATTTTAACTCTTTGCTATTTTTAGATACACCCAGGCATATTAAGCACTTGAAAATATTTAATTCAGCAAATTACGTATGTGTGTGTCTTTTTGGGAGGGAATGGTGGAATATCAGTAAATTAAGCAGGAGTCAAGAGGTGTGGATTCTCTCCAAGCTCAGGCACTAAATGACTTTGAGAAAACCACTTTATCTCTTTCTTGAAAATGAAAGGGTTGAACTATATGATTTATCTCTTTAAAATTCTAGTCAACAAATACTTATTGAGTGCCTACCTATGTCAAGCACCATTTTAGGAATGTCAGAGATACATCATGTACAAAACAGAAACAAAAAAAGCATTCGTTTATGAAACTTACAGTATAAGGGATAGAAATAGACACTGAAGAAATTTAAAACATAATAAAGAAATTGTAAGATAGTAGAATGAAGTAAATGACATGGAAAATAATATGATACTATAAATGTAAACAAGGCAAGGAAATGAAGTTTATCATTGTCACAAATGTGCTAAACTCACCAGACTCTGCTGCATAGTCTTCTTCTTTTCAAAACTAAGTTTCCTCTCAATGAAGGTGGCACTGTGGTCCTTTACAAAATTCAGATTCTGAATCTCTTCTAGTACTCGATTCTGAATACCAGAGATGCTTGAGACCAACGGTGGCACCTATGGTAGAAATGATATTGCATGGTTTGAGACAACTAGATAATCACATTGGGTTTTAAATTTACCAGAATCGTGACAATCATTTCAGAAAGTCTATAATGTGCCACAGTGAAAAATTCAGGCAACTGTAGAGTTTTTATGTAGTATGCTGTCTTTGGAAACCCCATGAGAATTATAGGAATCTTTTGAAGTTTTAAAGCTAAATAAAAGAGCACAGAGAGGAAAAATAACAATAAAGTGTTGGAAGAAATGCTCAGAAATTAATGGCAATGAGCAGTCCCATGTGGAGAGGAGGACAGTGGCAAGGAGAAAGAGGCTAAAGCAAGAAGCACTGATTAAGAGTCTGTGCTAGCTTTATTTTAAAAATGTTTTTACTAGTATATACTAATTTATAAAGGAGGATTCATTGTGACATTCCCATATACAAATATATTGTATCCAGCAGATTCTTTGACATGCTCCCCATCAAGAGGACAGCTTATGTTCCTGCCTTTCAGAACTAAAGAGGGAGGGGACTTGATGGTTGTTTTGTTTGCTGTGCTGGGGTGCTGGAGACCAAACCCAAGACTTCACACATGGTGGGCAGTCACCGTATCACTAATCCACACTGTGAACCCCAAGGGGTCTTTATGGCGGCCCAGATGAATAAATAGATGGTTTACATGAACAGAACTACGGAAATGATGTGTCTGACTTTTAAGATTAGGCTAAAAAAGACCATGGAGTTTTGGCTGCTTCTCTTGGGACTCTCACTCTGGAGGCAATTAGTCACTGTGGAAGAAGTCCAACTGCACTGTAGCTACCATATATGAGGACAATATTGAAAGACGTGTGTGTGTGTGTGAGTGTGAGAGAGAGAGAGAGAGAGAGAAATCTTTGGAAACTCAGCTGTTCTAATTTCCAGTTGCTTAAGTCTTCTACCATCATCACCTCATCACCAACCTCACACACGCACAGAGAAAAGCCCTGCAATGACTCCTGTCCCAACTGTTATCTAACTATAACCTCATAGAAACTTGGAGAATGACCAACTTGAGTCCAGTGAACCCTTGAAACCATGAGAGACATACGAAATGACTACACTACCATGGTTTACGTAATTTAGTTGGATCCTAGATTATTTCTCCATTTCAATAAAGTTAAGTGATTGTCTCTTTGCTCCCTTGGCAGAAAATAGGAAAATGGAGTTTCCTTCTCTGTGAATGATATAACAGAGTTCCTAGACCAAGGGACCCTAGGTACAAATAAGACTAGGGGACACATATTAGAAACAGAATAATTAAGAGAATGGATCTACATTGATCCTGAAAGCCCCACCACCAAGAACCTAGTAATCAGACCATCAAAAAGACTTGAAGTCAGTTATCAGTTATCAGTACAGTTATCAGTTAAAAGGACTACCACCTCAGATTTGAGCAGGTCAGAAAGCTCTGGGAGCAATTTCTGTAAGAAGACACAATTGAGAGAATACCTCATCTGAAAGTCTTAAGGGGTAACTTAGCCAAATAACAGAAAAAGTTAGTCAAGGAAAAATTAAGCAACTGGTAAAAGAAAAGCACATTACCAGTATCAGAGAAAACAACAGATGTGACTGACTCAAGTCAGTCTGACTCAAGTCTAAGCAGTATTTGCATTATGTGCTGAGTATCTATCTGTTGGCTTCTTCAAATTCATTCTCCTTCCTTGTGTACCCTGTTCAGTGCTCCAGGAGTCTGATCAGAAGAAAATGTAGCAACAGCTTTTTTGCACCCTGGCTTCCAGATGGATTCAATCAGAAAATACCCATAGGAAATCAGAATAACAAAGGAAAATTAGGTAAAGATATTTATTTCCTAAGTTTCTTTTTTCGTAGTACTGACTGGCTGGTACAGCTCCTCTTCACAGCCCTAACTCCTCTCTCTACACTTTCCTATAAAGGCCCCTCCTTGTATCCTTTAAACCTGATGTTGTATAGCTCCCTCCTTTATTACTTTTGGGATAGAACACTGTTTATAAAGGTTTTACTATGCCATACTCACATTTCTGTAAATAGTCTCTTTATAAATTTTTTTCTCCAAACTCTCAGTTTAAGTGTTTTTCATTTTTCTAACTGGTATCATGACTAATGCACAAGTCAAACAGTTTAAACACTCAGTATAAACAAAGCCAAATTTATGGCATAACTGTAATGGAGTGGGGATAGAAAGAATTTTTGTGACTATATGTGTAGTGGGGTATAAAGAGAAGAGAGAGCCAAATTCTCATGTTTATAGTATAACATACACCTAAAATTGAAAAATAATGAAATAGCAACACAAGAATATTATATTAACACATGAAGGTAGGCCAGGCATGGTGTTACACAGCTGTAATCTCAAGAACTCCAGATGTTGAGGCAGGATTGCAAGTTTGAGGCCAGCCTGGGCTACAGAACAAGACCGTGTCTCAGAAAAAGGAAAAAGAAAAAGAAAAAAAAGAGAAGGAGAAGGAGGAGGGGTGAGGGGTGAGGGGAAGAAAGAAGAAGGAGAATGAAACCCACTAAAAACTGTTAACAGGGAGGGAAGCTAAGAAGGTAACATGGAGTGAGTGTGATCAAATGTGCATAACAACAGCACAGTGAAACCCCTTTGCATTATCAATGTATGGCCAATAGAAAACTTTAAATATGGTAGATACAGACGGTAGAAATTTTTTGACTTAAAAAGGAAGAGAATCCTGTCATGTGCTGAAGCATGGATGAAACATGAGGGTGCCATACTAACTAAAAGATGCCAGCCACAAGAGACAAGCACTATGATTCCACTTGTATGGGGTATTTAAAGTAGTCAATTTCATAGAACCAGAAATACATGATGATTGCCGGGGACTGAGAGGGTATGGAGATGGGGACTTATTTAATCAGCATAGTTTCAGTGCAAGATGATAATGTTCTGGTGACCTTTTGTACAACAATGAAACACACTTAATACTGACCTGTACACTTACAAATAGGATGGTAATTTCTATATAAATATATATACACACACACACACACACATATATATATAGATAGATAGATAGATAGATAGATAGATAGATATTTTACTACCCTTAAAAATAAAAATTGAGCTAAGCATGTTAGTTCATGCCTGTGATTCCAGTTACTCAGGAGGCAGATATTGGGAGGACTGTGGTTTGAAGCCAGCTGGGGCAAAATTTTAACAAGACCCCATCTCAGCCATCAAAATGGGTATGGTGGCATGTGACTGTCATTCCAGCTACACAGGAGGTATAAATAGGAAGATCCTGGTCTAGTCTGGCCAGGAAAAAATAAGACTCTACCTGTAAAACAACTAAAGCAAACAAGACTGTAGGCACAGTTGAAGTAGAAGAGCACCTGCCTAGCAAGTACAAAGCTCTGAGTTCAAGCCCGAATACTACAAAAAAGTAAAAAAAAAATGACATTATTATTAGTTTCATTTTATTCATATGAGAAAATAGGGGCAAAAAAGGATAAATGAATTTGGCCAAGGTAATATGGTGATGTGTGGGTCTCAGAACAGGGTGCTTGAGTGCCAGAGTCTGTTTTCTAGTCACTCTTCAACTCTGCTTTTCTGCAGTGTAGACATGAGGCTACACCAGAGGCTACCATTGGGAAAATGGTGTAAAGCGTCTAGGAGATCTCTGTATTACTTCTCACCAACTGCATGTGAATCTGTAATTATTTCAAAACCAAAAGGTTAAAAAATACATAGTACATATAAGTTGTAGAATAGGATCATTGTAATGAGAATAGACTTCTCCAGACTGCTTTTTACTTTAGTATATTAGTAATTTCTCAAAAATAAAGAATCTCTTTGCTCTTGTACTGTGAACAAGATTTTTAGATAATTTTAAACAACAAATTAAAGATACCTTTAACAAATACATGATTCAAAGTGGGGAGTGAGGGACAGAAGACGGTCTGCCCGACTTGACTTAAATAACACACTGAAGAGCCACCTGTGAGCACGCTCTGAACTTGGCCACTTTTGTCTGGGTCTGATTTCTAGTGGACCCAGGAGCCCAAGGAGGCTGGTGACTGGTGCTGCGCTTACCGGTACGACTGTGGAGTAAGTCTGCTGGCCTCTGAGCATTAGATCTCTGAAGAGGGTTATGAAACTGCCCAGGCAGTTCAGCAGAATCTTCCGAGCAGCCTGGTTGAACACCTGGAGCTCTTCCACCAGTTGGGCATTGAGGGCCTCATATTCCTTTCTGGCCAAGTCTGACTCATCTCCTGCTGACCGCTGCAGGTAGCTGTTGTAGTCCAGCAGTTTGTCATAGCGTTTCTGGATGAGTTTCTGAGGCCCTGGGAATAAGGACAGCAAGGCTGACAGGGGGGTCAAGATGTGTCTCTGCAAGTGACCTGCCTGCCAAAAAAAACCAAAAAACCCATTACAGAGAGTAACAACCATAACTTGACCAGCGCTGATCTCAACAGGTTTACCTCCTTCTGCAGGAGCATGAAATAAATAGGAAAGCAGCCAGCCAAACTAGAGAAATTCAGGTCATTTGCGAGTCTAGTTAAGACTATTCAAGGACTTTAGGCAGAGATGCTAAAACGGAATCTGAAGAGTGAGCAGGAAGAGAAATACAAAAGTTAAGGCCTGTTTACCCAAACTATACCTCTACCTTTTTTTCCCCCTACAGCCATTGGGATCATCTCTTTCAAAAGTTTCCACTTCTTCCTTCTAATCCTAGAGCCAATCAAGCTATTCTACCAGGTAATCTCTAGCCTTTGACTCACCACATTATCCTATCATTTGCTGAGAGCAAAAGGGATACAGTTGGTCTTGGGAGAGACTATACTTTCTTCTACCCATGTCAGTCCCAAATCCTTAACTGCTCTGAGGTTTATTTTTGGGTGGCATTCCATCCCCTTATACAGATAGTAACTCCTTAAGATGAGTATTTTGTTCCTGTGACAGAAATGAGAATTATAGTTTCATCTTTAAATACTTTGAAGGATTAAGCCAATGCTGATCCTGTATCTTAAATTTTTACATTTTTTAGGTTTGAATCACTGAAAATAAGTTTTATATTCATACTCAACCCCATGGCAGCACTCAAGCACCCTACATTTAATTTCTTCTCTTTTTCTTTCCCTCTATGTTGAAATGCACTAACATGTTTGCTGATTGCCTTGCTTTGCCCTTTATGCTTGGGTTACATGATTTTATGTCAATTTGGAAGAAGGTATCTCTTTTGTACTCTCAAAGATATCCCAGGGAATCCCAGGCAAAAGCCTGTAATAATTAATTTAAATGTCTCCTGGTAACTTTTTCTGAACTCATAGGAAATCTAGGAGAGGAAAAACAACCTCTTATTGGCATTAGCAATAGCCAATATGGATTAGATTTGACGTCTAGTTTATGAAATAATCAATATACACCTGCACCCTGTTTAATGAGCCCCTTAACTAAGCAGAGAATCTATTTACTGTATCTGAGATAAATTACTGTGTTTGTGAGTTTACTTGGACTCTACAGGTAATATAATTAACTATATATAGTAATTTTATTATATTACAATATATACAGTATGTACACCCAGTGACTCACAGATACCGACTGATTCACTGACACATAGGAATTATGGTTGGAACAAAGAAGAAGCAGATTTTGTTAAAACATTTGTAGACAAGAATCATTCATGGATAGATAAAAACAACTGCTCTGCCTTTGGAGAGACTTTTAAGTTCTTACTATTTCATTTTTGAAGAGAGTTCAATATGTCATCCATAAAATGTTACTTTTATATTGAGTTTTCTGATCATTTAATTTAGCCTGATTAATCACTCTATGGTTTTATAAGGTAGGCAAGACAACTTTCTTCATTGTATCAAATTTTAGAGCATGCTTTCTAAGGAAGAAGCTATGCACCATGTGGTCAGATTGTACAAAATAAATAATTATTGACTTAATTAATTTTAATTAACATAAAGAGCAAACACTTGAGGGCTTTTCTAAAATGTAATTAGACTCAGAAAGTATGAAAGAACTGGCCACACTTTGCCTATTAAACCCATGACATTTAACTTTTATTTATCCATATCTATCATCTATCTATCTATTTATGAATGAATGTGTGACCTATTTCTCTATCATATTACTTCAGATGTAATCCTGACTTTCTATTTCATAAAGCCTAAATAATGAAACACTTCTGAGTATTTTCTTCTAGAAAGAGGGCTGTGTCTCCTAGGGTTGGAAATACATGGAGGTGATTGTTGGTTGTCACAATGACTTGAGGTAAGGGGATGTGACTAAGATGTTGAGCCTGGTGGGCTAACAATGCTAAGCGTTCTCCAACACAAGGGTTACTAGTGAAGACTTAGCTGATTTGAAATGCCAATAATGTTGGATATAAAAACATATATGAGATACTTGTATGAAATAATAATACCTATAGTAATACAAGGCACTAAATTAAAATTAGTATAGCTTAGACTAGCTGAACACCCAGATATTTTATTGACTTAAGCAGGTTTTTATGATTTCCAATACATAAATGATACATATATAAGTACATTGTCATATACATATGCATACATATCTATATGTATGCATATAGTAATGGGATTTGAACTCAGCATCTTGCACTTACTAGGCCAGTGCTCCACCACTTGAGCCACACCCCCAGCCCTCCCAACCTATATTTTACAGCACTCTTAGAAAACAAATATTTTATCATGGAACAGAAGAAATAATAGCCGATTGTTAAGTAAAAGTCCTTTCTGATAAGGAAGGCTTTACTGCCCTCTGTGTCTGTGCTAATATGGGTCATATTCTCAGGGAGAACTTATGTTCCTTTTGTAGAGACTCAAGACATTTCAGAGACTCCTTTAAGAAAATCACAGTTTTCCAAATTAGTAAATCCTTGATATATCACACACAGACTTAAACTAAATATTGATTCTAGAAGTTGTCTGGCACTGACTACCCTTAGCAACATAGTCTGGGGTTGTATTAAGTTTCAATTATAATAAAATCCCCACTAATCCACCTTAAAAATATTTAATTACTTAAAAATTCCCCTCTTAAAATCTCCTAACGTTGACATTAGTCTTTGCTTTAGTGCATATTTTACTTCTAGCTCCAGAAAAATAAGTGAAAAGCAGATTTTCTTTTAACCCCACTATTTAATTTGTATTTATCTGTGACTATAAATAACTTACAAAGTCTTGACAAGGATTTGGGGCATTACTCCGAATCTCTGAAGAGCTCCTCTCCTCTTCCTCTTTGTTGTATGAAATCTCCTGGAGCTCTGATATGCTCTGCAGGGTGAATGGCAGGGCATCCTGAAACCCAACAACAAAGTTATATAAGTTCTGAAGTCAGTATAAATAAACATACCCCAAATGCCACTTTCATCATCTTAACACTTCATTTCCCCAAAGAGACAAAGAAAAAAAAAGGCAACCACAAAAAAATTCATGAGTACTCTGTATAGTTAGGCTACTTATAACAATCTATTTCCTTCCTTTTCCCCCATTTCATTTTCTCACAATATTCTGTATGAGGCCTCTTTAAGTAGAATCCATCTTAAATTCCCTCTTTGACCATTTTTTAGTATTCAATTCTTATGGATTCCTTATTTTAAAAGTCATTTCTCTTTAATCATCAGTTTTTCGTAGTGAAAGTAATGTAGTCTTTGACAGAAGATGCTCATATTTTTGTTGAATCAATTGGTGAAAATACAAGACAATCCAGCAAAGGTTCCCAACAGGCAATTACTCTTTAAAAAGTACATAAACGATAGGGTTCCCACTGCCTTCTGGCTGTTATATTTATGTTTTGGGTTTCTTTTACACAGAAGGTAACACTTTAGGAAGAGATTAGCAAACTTGACCGTAATTCAAGTTTTGCACCAGATAACAAAAGAGGCCAGAATGGTTCATGCACTAATAGAATGTGGAACCTTGTCTCTACATCAGTGTGCTTGTCATCTTAATCATCTGCTTGATTGTTATGTTATCTAAGTGTGCAACTATCTGCTCCCAAAAACAGATATTTAAGAGATGAACTGTTGAAAAAGGAAGAGGTCATCTATTAACTAATTTTTATATGTAACTCTACTAACATTCTGTATCTCACAGTCATAACCATTGTCAGGATGTTAAGGACACTGTGTCTTCTATGAGATCCATTAGAAGAAACTCCTGAGACTTTCTACTGAGAATGATTGCATTGTACTTCAGATAGTTTGTTGAAATCACACGTTCTTAAGAGGATCAGGACAACTCCAAAAGGACTAAAGGTGTTTTTTTTGTTGTTGCTTTGTTTGTTAGTGTAATGGAGTGACATCATTTGCTTACTATAGCTCATAATATTTTATATTTCAAATTATTTTTCCTGTATACTGATTTTCATACTATTTCAGGTACTAAAAAAGAGATATTTTAGTAAAATCAGAAAAATAAACACAATTTCTGTGTCATATACAATGTTGTGTGAATGAATTCATCTCTATTATAAAGAGGGTGATGGTCCATGTGAGAATCATCTGACCAAAAGTTCCTCAATATGGCAATTTGAATTGGAGATAGAGTAGAAAAGGTGAGGAGGGTCAACGAGCAAAGCCCATTTATATTGGCTTCCTTCACCAGCAGTTTTCAGCCTTCTAAATTTGATATAAATGAATGAACAATCACATTTATCTTGATAATAACCATGGAAACCAATGTATCCTTGTAGAAATATTTGTCTCACCTACCTGTATGTGTTGAAGACAGAATGAAATGTTCTTCACACAGTGCCTCACTGTCTTTTCTAAAGCTCTAAATAGCTTTTCTTCTCTGTTGAAGGTATTATCTTTCACCTAAAATATTCATGAAATTATTTTCATAACTCAAATCTAGTAATTAAAAATAGTACAGACCATATTGGCTCACCACATTACAAAAAACTTCCTTGTTGATATGAAAACCTTCTGTGATATGCTAACTGTTGTACCACAGTGCTTTCTGAGCTGGCACACAGCACAGATGATGGTCAATTAGTACTGCAAAGTCAGGGCATACTACTGAGTTCGCTATTGCTAATTTTCACACAGTTTCATCTACATTACAGTAGCTGCAGGATTTTCTCTGCCATTTTAATGGCATATATATCATTTATATACTTACATTACTTATGGGTTATAAAATAGCAAAATTCAATCAATTTAATGGAACATATTGTTTCACTCATAGGACTCATTCCAGTTTATTTCACGGGGCTTATTTAGAAAATATTTCTTTGGTCCAAGGTTAAAGAAATATAATTATCACCTCAAATTTGAAGGAGGATATGTGATCTTAGTTCTTCTATCAAGCCAAGTCTGCAGAATTACAATAGTGGTCACCTATGTTCAGCTATTCTTTATCAACCTATATGCAATGTCTGTTAGTACTCAGAATAATAAGCTTTTATATGCTTCTGGAATTTTTAGGAAGACATACTTATTGCTACAAGACAAGAACCATCCTGGTGCTGGCAAAGCCCATATAAACACACACATTGATATTCCATGGAATAGGATGTGCGTGGTTCAGTTTTGCACTGCATAATAATTGTAGCTGTTCTTGTTTATATGTTTCTTAATCTTACAGAACTGACCTTAGAAGTTAATGGATAGAAACAATAACATTTTGTTTTTAAAACCCCTTAGTATTATTTACCTAGAAACTTTTGGATTAAAGAGGCAGCAGAGTTCCTCGTAATCCACACAAAATCCCATGCCTTGGCCTTATGATCTTTATGCTCCAACTCAGTCCGGTATGTATAACAAGAAGTTAGAACAGATTTTTGTAAATGCAGCTTCCAAAGACCCATCACCAAATATTTTATTTTGTATACTTTGTCTTGGACCCAGATGGTGTTATAGTGGAACTTTTAAGGATCACACTGTGAGAAATCTTGCTCAAATCTGCTTCCCCATATCCAAACTTTTCTCATTCTGTTTTGCTGGAATATGCTACTGTCCCTTTTCTATCTTGTAAAATTGTTTATTTTTAAGAACCAACTCAAATATTACTGTTTCTATAAATCTTCCCTCCATTGCTATTCTGCCTGCTATAGAAATTCATTTCTCCCTTCTTTGTGCTCTTATAATCCAAATTGATTATTTAAGCATTTCCCTCCACTGAAGAATTTCAGGCATTTAGAATTAAGTATTTTTGTCTTAATAATAACAATAGCTAACATTTATTAAACAGTAATTATGTTCTAGACACTTTGCCAAAACCTTTCTTCTACTTTCTCATTTTAATTCCTACACAACTCTACGAGTTAGGTATTATGATTGATTCTACTTTAAAGATAAGGAAACAGAACCTTTGGGGGGAGCGGTGCAGAGATTCTTAGTATTCTCCTCTTGCCCTTTTGTTGGTTAAACCTATGCTTCTAGGTTAAGTTGTACACATGGCTGCCCTGCTAGAGACTAAACTTGCTAAACTCCCTTGTAGTTATTCTGCCCATGTAACTGGGTTGGGACAAATGGGACATGAATGAAGTGCTATGTCTCATTTCTAAGTCTTAACCTTGGAATTTTAAGGAAGACATGGCAATGACCCAGTTTCAACTAGGCAGATGAAGACAATTCATTTAGGAAAAACACTGCACAAAATGAGGCCAATGGGCTTCTGAAGGATATTCTGAAGCAGAACCTGTCTGCTCATATCTCAGGACTTTTATTAGAGTGAAAAATAAATGGCTACCTGTCTTAAGTTACTGTGCTTTGAAATCTCTTTGTGAAGATGCATGGTCTTTGTCCTAATATAAGAGGCTAAAGAAACTTCCTCATGTTCATATTTAGGATCAGGATTCAAACCCAAGTTTAGCTTGAATTCAGAACCTACACCTGTTCATCTTTGTATTCCCAGTCTCTCACACACTGCCTGGTACATGAGAGTTCAATACATGTATGGTGAATTGAACAGAATCTTCCTCTTGGGTAATAGCTCTATACCCTAACTCTACCAATTTTTCACCTGAGCTGCTGACAAGTGCAAAATTGATTGATCTGAGATTTATCTCTTCTCCAGTCCAGCCTATGCAGCTGATTTTCTGATTAACAGTGAAATGCTTCATTGCTGACAGGACATCCTCTAAAAAGATTAAGGGGAAAAAATCTAATTAATATCCCTTCAGGCTACTTTAACTACAATTCATTTTTTGTTCACAATCAAAAAATATAAGAAGCTGATGATAAATATATTAAAGAATACAACAGCTTACACAAAAGCCTGTCTAAAATTAGAAGCTGCCTATTCTATTCAATAGAATTACCTTGAGTCAGAAGGAAAATTCCAAAGACAGAGGGGAAATTGTTTGCACTACATTTATATATGCCTACAGGGGCTACAATCTCTTCTTAAATTGATTCCCAATTTGATTTTATTACTGTTGTCTTAAGTTTAAATGCCTTGATTGTCCATTCCCTGGTCTATGACTATACACCATAGGTATCCCACATTATAAACATCCCACATGATAGTTCCAAATTAAACCTCTTACGTGCAATGGATCTAGTGAGCCCCTAGAAGCTTTTAAAGAAATAAAAACAATAGACCAGCTATGTGTTCCAAGAATGTACATGTTGACACTGGCATGGTAAAGTCAGTGCAGCATAAGATGAGAACAAGTCTTAGAAAGAAATATATCTATAGGTCGAGAGAGGAGTCATCACATGCCACACAAGGCCACAAGGGCAAGCACCAAGTTTTGGTCATGTGGCAGATGAGAGGAGTGAAGACAAAGTCTAGACCAGAGCCCTTCTTCGGGTTTCCTTGGGAATGGCAACTTGGGAGGATCAACTACTTTGAACATTCCCACACACTCTAGATTATAGGGTTCGTCTCTGGTACTTGACTTTGGAATGATTTGGGGTAGAAGAAATATTAGGTAAGTGTATAAGAGTTAGATAAGGAGGCCTCTAGATTCAGGATTGGTAGGTTTGCATATAAAAGTTGCATTCCTAGCCATTTACTGCCTCTAAGAATTGATAGCCCTATAAGGGGATAGTCTCTTCTCAGCCAGCAAGGCATTATATGTTGAAACATTGTAAAATAAAGAAAGTAAAAAAACCAAACATGCTTAATATACTATGCATGAAGGAGCTTACACCCTCATGGGAAGTAAGATGTCTGCACTTTCAAAGATAAATAATACAAGACAATGATATAAAATAATGATTATAATTATAGCAGCCAATATATGTTAAGTATTTACACACTGTGTTAGGTGCATTCTTTATATGTGCATTATCTCATTTAGTCACCATATCATCCCCTGTATCAGGTACTAATATAATCCCCAATGTTCAGATTATTACTTGAATTTAAACTACATGCCCAAGACAAATATCTATTAATGGTAGAGGTGGTGTTCAGAATTTAGGTTGGATAATTTCAAAGACCTTGCTCTTAATTTGTGTTCTGTACTGATTTTTACAAATATGAACAATGCCAGTATTACCATGTGGAATGTGAGTTTATCAGGCATTCAAAGAAGGAAGAAGTCATTCCTACTTATATGGTAAGAAGATGCAAAGACTTAACAGAAAAAGGGAAAAAAGACCACAATGGCTAAGCAGTGGGGTAGATACAGTAAGTCATCTAAAACCAATGCTGGACCACCATCAGTTGCATCAAATTCAAACTAAAAATCCTGGAGTTGTTAACATAAGAAGTAGTAAAAACAGGCAAGTGAGAAAAGACTGTATTAACAATGTAATATGTTGAGAACTGTCCTTCCTAACTTCAGTTAGAAACCCACTGTATTATCACCTAGGGCCATGAACTTTCTATCTGGTGATTCTCCAAGTGTGTTCTATTGATCACTTACTTCAAGGTCATTAGCTTCAAAACACCTGGAATGTTTGTAATCAGGTGGAACACTAGAATCTGCCTTTCAGCAAACTCCTCAGGTAATTCTTAAGCACATTAAAGCTTAAGAACCTTGCTATTCTATCCATTATTTATTAGGGATTGGGAAGAAAGTGGTTCACGCCAGGCTAAACAGCTGACAAAGAACAGTTGCCCTCTACTATAATGTGCATCTGGGGAGTTGGGGGCAGGGAAAGGAAGAGAGAAGAAGCAGGGAAAACATCACACTGTTATGCAACTAAACACTTCTTTAATAGAGGAAAGAAAGAGAAATAAACAGTAAGGGAACCCTAAACAAAAGTGAGATTTTTAAAAACAGAAGTAAAACAGAGATGGAAGGACACTGCCTTGTGGGACACTGTGTGCTGGCTGATGGTAAGTGTCTTGGAGCATTTTTATGCCATGTCCTCATCTTCCCTTTGTCTGCATCCCTAGTGGAAGCATCTTAGATTAAATAGTGTCAATCTCCTCTCCTCCCCACTTGCCCCCCAAAAGAAAGAGGAAAAACAAAGAGCACAGGACAATTATCTTGATTTTCAGTGTTCTGGAAACAA